CGATGCAATCTATATGCGGGTGCTTAAATTTAGAACAGAATCAGTTGATCAAATGCCATGAGATAGTTGGAGCAGTTAGAGAAACCACATTACCTTGCTTTGACTGGCTGTCGGTCAGATTCGTAATTGGTGGACACTTTACCACCCAACAAATTCACATTTGTAACAAATTTGTATGTACTGCAATCGTCGCCAAGGCTGCATTGATGCCAAAATCATTTCTGAGGCATTTCCTATTTTCTTATGGGAAGGAAAAAAAATAGTAAGTCGGGCCCGTTCATCAATGAGTATTCACTAGATCAGGGTGGTCCAGACTGCGGCCCGCAGAACAATTTTAGCGAACACTACTGAACCTTTGGCAGATATTTGTATTTATTAGCAGAACAATTTTGATTTATTTTTAAACTATTCCAACTGCGAATAGTCCTTTTCCTAATCCCGATGTCGGGATTGATGTTTGTTAAAATCACGGAATTTCATTATTGAATCTATAAACGTCAAGACGGCTCCATATGGCAGTGGTTCTCAATCTGAGAAGCAGTTTTGAATTATTGCAGGAATTAAATTTTGAGTTGGCTAAAATATGACAAAGACGCTTTAAGGCAATTCCAAGCAAAAGTTGAATTCCATCAATTTTTTTAAAAGTTCAGTGAAAGTAAATTTTTTGCATTTTTTATATCAAAAGTCATAGGAATGTTATTGGACTGCACATATTTCACCGAAAAAGTTGAAATTTCACCCAGGTTTTTGATGGTTTAACAAAAATGGCCAGAAATGTAAAGATTTTGGTATAATTGATATATTTCGTGATGATTCGTGACACAAAGTGTTTGACTGTGTGATACAGTTATTTCATATGAAATAGACGCACTGAATTTAAGTTAATAAAGTTTAAATAATTGCAGTGCTGTAGGACATTTCTTCACCCATTTAACGATTTATTACCAGAATTTTAAGAGATGATAGAGGCCGCTGTTCCGAAGTGGAAACATGTCTTGGCATAGATTTACAGTGTTACATTAAGTAACTTGAGCAACACATAGGGGGGTCCTTCAGCTACTGCACCAGAGAATATTATGGGCTCCTGCTGTACCATCGCAAAAATTTACAGCACAACACAATGTAACGTTAATCCATGGTGGATTTGCCATCCTGTAGTGTCACGCTGTATTTTACTATATTTTTTATATCCACTAAACAAGTCTCGTGTGTAACTTCTGTGCAATTTTTTCCATATTCAATAAAGCAATTGTTTGGACAATGAAACGAAACATGTAGCTAAAAATGTAAAAATATATTGCATCTAACAACATGCAAAATTTCTGGAATTGTCCTGTAATGTCACTTGGAATAGCCCTTTATCATCCATACTTTATGTATTCGCTGAACGAGTTTATAGCGCTATACGGGAGATCAATCTCGACCGCTACTTCCCACCTAAAACGAAACGATGATTAAAGCCTTCAGTTCTGACGGCAGACAACGCAAATGCTCTTGCAATTTTGCACGCAATTAATACGTTATTACTGCATTTAATTATTAAGTTGAAACTTTGCACGGAGGTCTAGAATGTACGTAGTGCCATATAAAATACTCCTATAGCGCGTTTCTTTTGCCATTGGTCCCAACCTCAGAAGGGAGTTTTGTCGGTGGTACGCGACCAGGACAAAGAACACAATTTCCTATTGTCATGTCATGTTCTATTGTCATGTACTACTCTTTTTAATTTTTTCTTTTATTCATTTTTAAAGCTTAATTAAGGTGCTTGGTCATCGATGACGGATCATATTCATCATATTATATAGTTTCCTTTAAAACTGATTAGAATTATTAAACTCTCGTTCTTAAATATTTAGAGTGAGTAAACTTGCGAAGTTTCGATCACTTTTGGGTTATCTCCAACTGTGGCCCGCGAGACCTCCTCAAAAGTTTTTGCGGCCCTTCAACCTCGCAACCTTGGATCACCCTGCACTAGATCAATTACCAAAACGACCAAGAAGTTGGCCATACCCTCCGATGGACACAGATGTCTCCCTACTCGAAGAAGTCCTTTTTGAAGGATTTTGCATATTCGACAATGTCAACTTGCACATCATACTACGATCCCCGTACTATACTACTGTAACAGAGCAGTGAAATCTAGTCTAACCAGGGATGTAGAAAGGGGGATTATATAACCTATCCCCGTGGGGCAGCATTTGAGTGGCGCAAAATGGTGACAATTGCAAAGAGAGATGGTAAACCCAGACGAGCTATAGACCTCCATCACCTAGTCATGTGCCTCCCAAGTCCCAATACTTGAGGAAAACTTATCATTGTCAGACACCATTTTAACTGGCCTTTAAGATACCCACCCACCCCCTTAAAAAAACAAGAAGACCTTGCTGGACGCTGTAGATGAATATCACACCGTAGAACTGGATGAGGAAACTCAACCTTCATCGACTTTCAATACTAAATGCGAAAGATAGTTGTGCAGACGAGTGCCACAAGGATTTATTACAACTGGAAATGCATACCAAGACGCCATGACGAGACCATAAACATATACACCGGCGACACAATACTATATCATGCAAATATAGAATCAGCTTGTTTTCACACTGGAGAATACCTGGCAAGATAAAATCCTTCAGCAGAACCGCTCAAAACAATCACAAATTTCCCAGTTCCCAAACACACTTGTGGAGACAGGTCATAGTTAGGTTTAGTTAAACAAGTTTCATAGGCTAACCCAATCAGCGAAATGATGTTACCTTCTGGTGACTCATGAAGCAAAACGAAAAAATTTATTTGGGTGACGCTCTGGGATAAATATTCGAGGTAATTTCTGATTAGTTAAACCAATCGCTAATTTGACAAGGCGGCGGTTGAAAGGATGGTTGACACTTGATTGGTTTATGCTAACTCAGGGTTCACCACGTTAACAGAAAATCGATACTCGCCAACATAAAGAGAAACATTAACAATGCCCTGGGCCCTAAAGCACGCACAAATGGCTTCTTAGGTTGCCAAAACCTCAATTTGTCTACTGATCATGGACCCATAATGAGAATCTTCAAAGATCAATACTTGAATAGCATTAAAACCTTCGAATACAATACTTTTGAAAGAGCGCACTGCGATGCAGATTCACAATTCAACATTTCCCAGGACCATGGAACACTGCACCTGATGTCACGCAATCCCACAGCCTTAGAAATATCAGATACAAAAAATGCGATGATGGACATAGCACGTTATGACAAGCAACTAACAAAGTAACAGCAACAGTGTAGTGCGAAAGACTTTTTCACGCAATATAACAATCCGTCATCAATAAAAATGACGTTGCGCCTGTGACTCTGGATCACATAAGAAGCCACGAAAGTCAGACAACAGCTATAAAATGCTCATCAAAATAATTGAGCATGGATTGCCAAATTCAAAACATAGAATATGGACCGCCTATCAACTGAAGATGTATGTAATACTATTGGACTCTCGTTCAGTTATTATTCCTTCACGAGATTTTGCTCATCCGCGAGATCATACCGCGGTCACTACATTTTGCACACCAAGGAATCACAAGAATGAAAGCAAGAAAAAAGCAATCATTCTGATTTGTAAGACTTCCGTAGGAATCAAATTACTCCACTTTTGAGAATATAACATGTCCAACCCAGTCATTATGGAATTAAATTTCATTTCCCACAATTTAAATCTCCGGTCTGACAGGTACGGCTCATTTAAATACTTTATAATAACTGAACTATTGTGACGCGAACTCACGAAGTCACGTCTTCAAAATAATTCGTTGTTTGAGGATCATTGATCAAGTATATATAGCGTGAAATATCTTTCAAAGAAAGCTAGTCTGAATAAATGTTTTAAGATCGTATTCTGTGTGTTGTGGAAATCTACGAATAAAAACATATAGAGATTTTTAACGTATATATCATCATTAACGTTGGCGTTGACGACTGCCGATGTCTATCGTCAGATTAACATACTTGGGATGAAACTATCGTCAGTCAAAATATGTGTCGCAACTAATCAAACCAGTCAACAAACAACTTATGTGTAGTGGTAACTAATCACTATATTTGGTTACCCCGACGTGTTTGAACACGTAACCTTCTGATATGTGTAGTGGTGACTAATCACTATACCACTACTATCTATCCCTTGGATTAGTATTTTCCATTACCCACACCATCGATCAATCACTAGAGACCCCATCAACTCATGTCGTGGGTTATTCAGCAGAAGAATTTGACTCTTGTGGTGAAGCCCGATTGACCTCATATGAATATTGGGGTATTAGTGAATCGAATATGTTTAGTATCTTGAACACAATCTAAGCGGATCATTCGTGATAACACGTCACCTGACGTATCTCTGAATAATAATAGGGAAGCCAGAGCAATCCTACACTACAGGAACACTTCTCTACATTGATCTCAGTCCAGCTCAAATACTGGCCCATAGACAACTGCGCAAACACGTTCCCACAAATCCACAGAATTTTCCTCCTCGTCCACGAGAAGAGGCGAGGACTGAAACTGGCTAACTGCACCGTCGTAAAAAGGTGTGTCAAAAATGTCGTGTGCCACTTGTCCCACAGTACAAAATCAGAGTAACCATTTAATCATTCAATCTCTTCCGATCATGACATTCTCATCGACAGTCCCCAATCGAAAGGAAAATTAGGACACTAGAAACTGCAGGAACTACAGATGCACCGATGGAAATACAACCAACAAGTTATCATGCGAGTCCATCGCTAACCGACTGAGCTCCAAGATTGTCCGGGGCACTTCAGAGATTCCAACCTCACAATAAACAAGAACGACTTGAAGAAAACTACGACATAAACTGAACTGAACAAAAACTTTCCCTATTTTACAAGAGTCTGCCTGATGGTTAAGAACATTGCAATATATTTCCATTCATGATTTAATTGTTTCTTTGGATTGTATTTTACTTAAATTGCTCAACATCTTTTTAATAATGGAAATCGAAGTATCTGAACATGCTAAAGAACAAAAATATGCTAAAGTATGTTTCGCAGTATCAAAGATGTCAATATTAAACAGGTGGGAAATTACATTCAAAAACAAGTTTCCCACCAGCTAGATGGAGAAGTAAACTTCTATCTTATTAGTGGTTGAAATCATTCTTCATTCTCTATAATTGTCATATTGAACAAAAATGAAACTGTAATACATGGTGTGACAATTTGTTCAATATGCAGACGGCGGAAGAACTGAAACATAATCTGCGGCGTAAGAAGGCATTTGGGTTGGGCATGGCTTTTAGATGGCTGTTGTTTGAAAAACTCCCCGTTATTTTTCCTCAAATATCGTGTCTATTACAAACTCGACTTACTGTATATATGCTATCTTTAATCTGAATAGACTTACTTAGGCAACACAGTACTCATGCGATGCGATTTAATGAACTAATATACTTGAATTAACATTTATCACAATTCAAACATTTGATACGCGGTAAATATGTCATATAATTCTGTGAAAATTATAAATATTATACATTTAATATTATTATTTTGGGATATTTTTTTAATCACAAAAACTCAGCGGCCTAGTATACTTAAAATAAGTGAAAAATTATACGACCAAATGAATTTTATTATTGCAAAAAGACTAAAATTCCCAGTATACTCATTAAAGCAATTGGCAAGAGTGATAAAGTTTTGCATTGCATTAATTCAAGTTTTCAAATGTGCCTTAGTCGGCTTGGGGTCTATAAGCGATAAATTTAAATGGGATCAATATCGTACGATAAAAACTCATTCATATATAAATTCGATTCCTGTTCCTTTCAACTTTTCTTCAACTTGTCTGTTTATTTCAGCAGACTGTTCCGCAGAAAAGTAGTTTTTTCATTTGCCAATGGTTCCTGGAATATAATAATTCATTAATAACGGGAGGAATTAAAGATAAATATACAAATTTGTAGCTAAACTTCATAAAAAGCTATCTAATAAATAATTATACCAAAACATTAGCAGTGCAGAATAATCTCATAGAGACTAAATTCATTTTTATAAAACTTTTATACCTGTAAGGCATTGCTTAATCACATGGCGACTCATTCCATCTTCTGATTTTGATACCATATCCGACTTTTTCATGTTGTCAATTGAACACTTTTTAACTATTTCATAGATTTCGTCATCCGATAGTTTTACTTTCAGGAATTCTGACAACTCTTTTGTTTTTTCGCAAGGATTCTTAATATAAAGCAAAATACATCTTGAGGTCAGGCCGTAAAAAAATGTTATCTCATATCAATCACACATCAGTAATTCGCGTTATACACTCATATTTGTGCGCACACATTTTTAACTAGTTGTATGATGAAATTTCAAAACATAAAACATAGAAATATTTCAACATTGCGGAGTGAAGGAGCCTTGATTAAGTGATCAGTTATTGTTGTTCAGAATTACATCAATGTGGATTACCTTCTTCATACACGATCAATATTGCGTTTTTGTTGTTTTTTATATGCGGCAGCCAACTCAAAATGTGATCCAAATATGATTCTCCCTTTCGTATGCCCAGAGGAAGAGGATCTAATTAAATAAATAAAATTTATACTTTTATTCAAATGCCGTCTGCCTGATAATTGATGCTTTTTTGAACTTTCACTGAACGTTTTTTGGCATTGAAGATCCCAGTTATTAAACCAAAATAGTTACCACTAAATATTTTGCCTTCTCTTGAAAGAAAAATACTTGTTCATTGTTTATGAATGCTATTTAATATCTTTCATTTGTCGTACAAAATAATCGTTCCAACCTTCGGGTGAAAATTTTGCTAATTCATCCTGCCAAAGAAATCCCTTAAGAAAATGAAAGTACGATACCAGCCTGTCCTTTGGATTCCGCAATGTGTAAACGATCTGAAAAATGATTACAAATAATAATTTTCATTGCTTGTTTATTTATATTCTTTAAATACAATTTGAATTGTTTACCAAGTGGTATGTGAAACACTTTTTAACTATGTTATAAATTTGGTGGTAAATTTACTTTTGTAAATCTAAAATATCACTTCGAATGATCGATATATTATTTTGTTTACAGAATTTTATTCTTTAAGCTATATTCTACTAAAGCTTGCCTTTACGTTCCTTTTTTTGTATATTTCTAAATTCACCAATTCAGCTGGTAGATGCGTAACAAAATATCTTCTAGGTATAGGAATATTGTGCATGACATTGAACTTTGAAGCTAAAATATACGGCGAGACCCAACAGGCATGAGTTATCACTTTAAAATAGCGACATTCGAAGAAATCTACATAGTATTAAATAAATAACAAGCGTATTGTGTATGAGAGGATCAATGCTGTAGTATACATTGAGTTGATGCTTTAAATGGAAGCGAAAATCATCAGTGTTATATAGGGCACATTGTATGTAATAAATGTTTTACAATGCCAACAGATTGTATTGAAGTAAATCCCTAGCTAGGCTACCAAAGCGATAACAGTAATCACAATTTTTCTTAAAAAAAAAAAAAAAATTTTTGAGTGGGTAGCCAATAAAATGATACGTATTTAAAACAACGAAGCTTTTTATTTCTACAAGAACCTACGTGTACATGTCTCAAGATACAAATGCGGTAAAGTGATATCTTTTGTCAGTTTATCAAGTTTTTCGTCTCTTCCATACAATATCTGACGAATAATTTCCCGAGTCCATGTGGTGCCTAAAAAGAATACATAACTTGATATTGTCTGTCCTATTTCTGTTTCATGTATTTGTAGATTTTTATTAAACCTGTTTTTGCACACGATGCCACCATCACATCGTTTCCTCTTGGCCCATGGTGATCGAAAGCATAAGATACTGTTTTTTGATGGAACTGTGGGATGAATAAATGATCATTCCATTCTAGAACTTTGTCCTCTGGAGAGTATGTGAAAGTATCTTGGAAATGAACGAAGTCTTTTTGGCACCATTCAGGTAGTTCTTGTTTTAGATTTGCCACAGTGTTTACTATTTTCGATAAAACACTGAAATTATATAAAAGGCCAAGTCTTTCATATTCAAGTAGAATTTGATTGTACTAAAATAATAATATACAAAAAAACGTGTTAACCTGCATAGATTAAAACTACCTTTGTTCGGTTGTAAAACTTCATAAAATGTATTTTGAACAAAATACTTCTAACTATTAAACTATTGCATTATAGAATTTGGATTCGACAGATAGTCCACGTCGTATTTATCGATTTCTTATCGAATTTTAATTATTAACACCCTCACATTGTACGTTCGCCACAATAAATCATGGTGCAAACAACATCTAATCAAAATTGTGTGATTTGTCCCATAGGATCTCTTGAAAATCACACATACTTGAAGTAAAGTATCACAGGTTCTTATTAATTTGAAAAATTACTGATAAATCATCTATGTATATTTCGGAATAAAACTACTAAGTATGTGTACCTTAGAACTGGTATTTAAGATGTGAGACGTTTCTTGTTTTCGGACGATTAGGTATTGGCGACTTTCCAACGCTTGAAACGGATTAATTGCCACCCAGTGCACCAAATAGCAAGAAGATAAGAGATACGGCTTTCGGAGATGAGCGAAAATATTTGCAATACTGTTGAAACTTGATTTTACTTTTTAGTTCTAACCTCAGGTACTCGCTGGATTCGAATCAATTTCTTGACTCATTACTCCGATTTGTGGAATCATATTAATGTCGGACTAGATCCTCACTAGTATTTATTGCTTTAAAACTTCAACTGATTTATTGCCCGATTGGCCCGTTGCAGAATATTAACCTTTCTAAGTAAACAGCAGTATTACAGTGGTCTCAATTGCTACTGTGTAAGGTAAATAAAGTTGTACAAACGAATTCGTTTCTCAGGCAATTCAAATACTGTATGCAATATACTGTCGTCTGAAAGACAACAAGAGAAAGTTGTAAGTTTTCTCATAAATTTTTCAATGAATAAGCTAAATTGATTAAACTAATTACTTCGAATGAATTGTATCTATTCTATGTTCATTCATGCTTAGGCCTAACTATACCTTGGCAGTGTAACCATTTACAACTCTGAAGACAATTTCGTTTAAATTGCATATGTACTAGTGGCTTATTCCCCCGGGAAGGGAATTAATTACATAATGCTCATAAAGATAAAATAATCATCATATCTATTTATACGCTTTAGCTGAATGCTATACTATTTTCTTTTATTGAACCAGTAAAACCAGTAACACAAATCAATTCGACATAATTACTGGCTGTTCGAAAAGGTGTAAACTAGAATATATATATGAATCCAGATGACTTGCTGCATGTAAGTCTCTTATATTCAAATAGTATTGTATTGCATTGAATTAATATACAAAAAAACTGACGTGTTAATCTGCTTAGATTACAACTACATTTATTTGATAGTAGAACTCCATAAAATACATTTGAAACAAAACACAGGACCTGACTTTATATCTACACTGTTAAATGTAGTAAAATCATCAACGTGAATGTAATAAATCGGTTTATCCGTAACAATGTAGCATGTGTTATTGGACACGTTTGTTGGACACGTTTAGTGGACATAACGATCGTTTTGTTGGTATATTGTTCTTGGTGTTCTTTGACACTTTTTGGACACCTAATGGAAATATTAAAAAACCGCTTTTCTCTTTGATCACTGGACCAAGTGCTTTGAAATTTTTAGTGGTTAAAGATGAAATTTTTCTCCAGAGAGATATTTAAGGCTTTTATTTATTTCAAATATTTCTGTTAGCTCTGTGAGATTTGTTTTTGTTTGCTATGACGTCACTGAACGTTCTGCAGACGCATATGCAGGCACTCCTCTTTTTGATCACCTGCCATCGAACGTTGGCGTGACGGCGGATTCTGAAAGTGGTCGCAACACTCGCAAGTTTTTCGAGGTTACCGGTGAATGGCGATGATGCTAAAGGTACGGTAGACCGTACTGTACTGCTTCGCTTGGTGTGAATATATTTGTAGACTGTGGTCTAAAGGTACGGTAACCGGTACTGTACTGCTTCGCTTGGTGTGAATATATTTGTAGACTGTGGTATCTGCTGTTATAACACCGTGATAAATCGAATAAGTTGGTTTTGCAAAGAAGAAGCGTCCGACATTACAGGTAGGAGGGGGAATAGGGGGGGTGCGCATTTCCAATACGTCGATAATATCTTTGTCAACCAATTTGCGACCATCGTGTTTTTGTCTATTTGATTGCGGTGATGTGGTGCTTTGTTTATACAGGTACTGGCAAGTCACCGCATATGATTTTTGGGGTATTATTCTGCGTGTCCATATATTTGAGCATTGCTCTCTTGTTATTTCTTTTAGATAATAATTCCGTCCGATTGGACCAAATCGTAACAACATGAATATAAATAAACTCGAGAGTGACGAAACTTAGCTATTCAATAGCAGCAATAATCATATTGTCAACACATAAAACTACCAATCCTACCTATTTAATCAAAGGTTGTGCTATTTAATATTGACATCTGAATTATATTTTTGTAGTCACTGCATCTAATATAGATGCGGATTTGGGTAGAATCCAAGTGTTTTTAAGATTTGTATTCGACAGATAGTCCAAGTCGTATTTTTCGATTCCTCATTGAATTTTACATATTAACGCTCTTGTCTTATACGTTTGCCACTATGTTAGTAAATCACACATATTCAAAGTATTTTATCGCAGATTATTATTAATTAGAAAATTTGCTGATAAATCATCTATCTATATTTCGGCAAAGTATGTGTACCTTTTATCACAAATTATTAATAATTACAAAATTTGCTGATAAATCATCTATCTATATTTTGGCAAATTATGTGTACCTTGAATTGACATTTAATATGTTCGACGTTTCCTGGTTTCGGACGGTTACTTAATGACGACTTTCCAAAGCTTATTGTCAAAGCGAGTTTCGTCTCATATTTGTTTCTTTATTGTGGCCTGAATGCAAAGAAAATCAAGTAACGCTCAAATCGGATTAATTGCCTCGCAGTGCCACACTTCTGAACCATCGAGAAGATGAGATATACGGCATTTGTAGATAAGCGCAAATTGGTGCAACACTGTTGAAACGTGTTTTTTTACTTTTCAGTTATGACGTCAGGTACTCGGTCGATTCGACTCAATATCTTGATTTACTACTCCGATTTGTGGAATCCTAGTAATGTCGGACTAGATAAATTACAAACATTTAGTGCTCTTCAACTTCAACTAATTTAAAGCACGAGTAGCCTACCTTATAAGCACATCAAAATAATCACTGCGGAGTAGTTGGTAGTCACAACTGTTGTGCGTTCTCATTGCCAGAATCAATTATTAATCTGTCCCGATTGGCACATATTCCGTTGCAGGATATTAACCTTTCTGAGTGAACAGAATTATTAGAGTGGTCTCAATTGCTACAGTGTAAGGTGAATAAAGTTGTGCAAACAAAACTAGCTTTTCGCTACTGTATGCAATATATTACTAAGTTGGTATGAAAGACGAAAAGAGAAAATTGTAAGTTTCATTACAAATGTTGCAATGAATAGGTTTTTATACTGTACCGGTTCTATTCTATGTTCATGCTTGGCAATGTGATCATTTGCAACTCTGAAAACATTTGTAATCAAAGTGCTATACCTCTATCAAACCGGGACCCGAAAACGTACCATAATATTATACTTACATATGTACCAGTGGTTTTTTTACTCCCCGGGAAGGGAATGATTTACATAATACTCATGAAGATAAAATACCCATCATATCTATTCATATGCTTTAGATAAATGTTATAACATTTTCTTTTATTGAACCGGTATAACTTGTAACACAAATCAATTTGGCAAAATCACTGGCTTTTTTAAACTCGATTATATGAAGCTGTAATAACTTTTTTTCGTATTCAGGAGAACCGAGTCATAATAGGTAAAGAGAAGTTAATTTAAAAGTGTGTTTTATTGCACCGAAATCATCGTTTCGAAAATGCTTAAATTATCATAATATCCTAAGCGATTCAAATGTCTGCATACTAAGACAAATAATATATTTGTTTAAAGTTTTGTTTAGCCAAGGCCAGATTTTCTCAGACAAGCATTATTCAACTACAACAGGAAGAGAATAATATAAATATAAAAAAAAAAATTTTTGCAGAAACTAACATTATAAAGATAAGAAATAGTATTTATTGTTAATTTTTAATATATATATATTCCCCTTGCCTTCACAACACGCCCCAATCTATTTGGAACTTGAATGCACAAGGCACTATGACTTCTTCTGATATTCCGTCCCAACAAGTCATCAATTTATGCTTTAAAGCTTCGACACTTGTGCGAATGGAAGTGCAGAATTTACTCTCTAGAATACTACAGATGGCGAAATCCATAGGGTTCAGATCTGAAGAGGAAGGAGGCCATAATTCCCTCAGCCAGAGCTCACCCATATTCCTTCTACACAGTGGTGGGATTCAAATTTTTTGTCGCCCGGTTCCTTTACAAAAGTCATATTTTTCAGCCGGTTCTGTTACAAACAAAACAGTAACCAGTAATGGTAACCGGTTTGCTGATCTCATAAAATTCCGTGAGACCGTTCTATAGAACCGGTGCGAACCGCCTGAATCCCACCACTGCTCCTACACTATTTTTGGACACGATTAGCTGTGTGAGATTTGGCTTCGTCATGACTTTCCCGATTCAAACAGTTTCTGAAACGCTGAACCTGTAGATGTCATAATAAACTTAATTCATGCAAATAGTAGGAACTGTCCTGATTCAAACACTGTTTTTTTTTTACCTCAAAATTAATATTTGTCTACACTTGGACTGATCACAGGGTGTGTAAAGTAATGTTCATGCCGTTTCTCTTCTTGTTGTGGTTGAATATTGTTCGTCCGAGGAAGTCTGGCCTTGGTCAGATGAAACGTTACAGAAATATATTTGTGTTAGTGTGCAGCAATGCTATTGAATCATTTAGTATAGTTATCTTCACTCTTGCCATAGCACCCTTGCATTATATTTATATTCATACGGATACACCGGCACAATAGCATAGAAGAAATAGTTAGTCCCGTAGAAATTTAATCAAGAGCACATCACATTAAATTGACGCATAATGCATACCTGCGTGGTTCCGTTAGCATTCTGATGATCTCCGTGCAAGTGACCATGGTTTGGATAAGTTACAATACGTTCAAATTGAGAGATAATACAAAGATTTAGGAGACAAGAGAGCAATGCTCAAATATGTGGACACACAGACAATTCCCCAAAAATCACATGTCATAGATATTTTAGATCCTGTGACAATGATCCATTCTTCTTGATTATATTGAAACATCAATTGAAATATCTCGTGCTATGAGTCAATTACGTACCGTATCACGTACCACAGTCAAACATGTCACATAAAAACGTCACTGAATAACATACGTCAACTTAACACCACCTGAATCAACTTTCGGTACAGTGACTCTCACAACTGTTTAGGGCTGATGGACGACTCGACTACACGGACAGCTCACCAGGCCTAGCTGTAGTCGAGTTGTCTGCCACCCATTTCACATGTCCCGTGACAATGATCTGTTTTTATCCATTCAATTGCAACCTGAATTGAAATACTAAGGGCATTTGGTCCAGTAATTAATGAGAAAAGCGACTTTTTAGGTGTTCAAAAACGTGTCAAAGAACAAGAACAACAAGAGAGCTATGCTCAAATATATGGACAGGTAGAGCCACATAATTTTGATGACGTCATAGCAAAAAAAAAGTACTAGCCTCCTGGAAAAAAATTCTATCTCTAATCACTGGAAATTTCAAAGCAATTGGTTCAGTAATCAAAGAGAAAAGCAATTTCTTCAAAACGTGTCAAAGAACAACGAGAACAACACAAGAGAGCAATGCTTAAATATATAGACACGAAAGCTCTTTACAATAATTACATCACGCTGTTAAACCAGAAAATATTTTTTACATTGATAAAACCGCGACCACCATATTTCATAACATGTTGAACACTATTAGTACATTGTGATGCTTCCTTATTGGCATATTGATGTTGTTTACCGCAGAACTGTAATGAAAAAAGCAAAAAGATAAGCATAAACATAGCAGCCGTGCAAGCGTACAAATAAAATGGAACAAGTTAATTTGACTGCAAATGCAGTGAGAGTAACATTTAAAATTTTAAATGAACGTGATATGCTTTGGCACTTATCTACGTCACATGTTAAAAATTATCGGAGAAGTTGTAATGCTTCTTCCTTAGCATACTTTAGTTATTCACGGCAAAACTGTAACGAAAAGATGAGAACGTAATTCACAGTGTTATGGTACCGGTGCCTTAACTCACCAGTACCATACTTTACCTGTAAGTCTGATACCGGTATTCGATGGTGGAATGGTTCTTCTTTGGCATGTACAAACTCAATTCATTTTATGTTATCAAAATAAACTAATACGCTAGTATACAAAACTTGAATTTGTGCAATAGTAAGTCACCGTGCTGCGTTACCGTACGTTCGCTTCTTCGCCGCAATCGCCACAAGGTGCCGCTATTTTTCATTGTGATCACCAATTCGCACAAAAAAAAAACTAATCTCTTGAAGTCCACAGAAAATTTTGAAATAAATAAAAGTAATTTTTTGCATTCTATAAAAGGTCGTATATACATAATACAATCTAAGACAATCTAAAAAAAATGTGCTACCGAAGGGTGCCATATTTAAAGCCATGCCCTTTTTTCGAAATGTGGAAAGTTATCTTGGTTAAGATGTTTTCGGTAAATTACGGCAAGATTCATTTACAAATAATTTGCTGTCAAATCTCATTCTAGATTGGATTTAGACAAAATCAACTGATAGGCTGAAACCAAAACTTCTTTAGTTTTTGTATCTCTCGATATTAAATCATTTTTAACTGCTTTCCAGATGCCTAATTTTCAATTGTCCGATCTTACAAATTCATTAGCGTCTGCTCTGCATTTTCCTTGAACTGTTCGCTGCTCAGCAAGTGACAGCATTATGAATCGCGTTGTTCGCTTACGCTGTTAGGACGTTGTTACGTCATAGGCATAGATAATAAATTGGACTAATATATAAGCTTTGCAGCGCAAAGGGAACCAGATCAAACTGAATTAAAAACTAGTTTTGCTGGCCGCACACAATTCCAAATTGGCACTTCTCCGCGGGCCGCTCAATTTGGCCGCGGGCCGCACATTGCACACCCCTGCCATAGAGTATACTTAAATTACCATTTCTTGAAATTTATATTTTATTTATATTCTTACAACATTTGATACGCGGTAAATATTTCATATATTTCTATGAAAATTATAAATAATATAAATTTAGTATATATATTTAAATTATATATATATATATATGAAAAATTAAACGACCAAATTAAATTTTTTAATGCTAAAAGACTAAAGTTCCCAGTATACTCATTAGTACATTAATAACAAGCTTAAGCGATTGGCAAGAATAATAAAGTTTATACTGAATTAATACAAGTTCTCAAATTTGCTTCCAGTCGGCTTGGGGCCTAACGGTTAAATTAGAATGAGTTGAATATTCTACGATAAAAACCTATTCATATATAAATTCGATTCCTGTTTCTTTCATCTTTTCTTCAACTTGTCTATCTATTTCATCAGATTGTTCCGCGGTAAAATAGTTTTTCCACTTGCCAATGGTTCCTGAAATATAATAACTCACTAAGAAAGGGAAGAATTAAAGACAAATATACAAATTCGTGGCTAAACAGCATACAAAACTATCTAATAAATATACCAAAACACAAGTATTGCAGCATAATCTTATGACGCAACGAACTAATTTATAAAACTTTTGTACCTGTAAAGCATTGCTTAGTTGCATGGCGATTCATTCCATCTTCTGATTTCGATTCCATATCCGACTTCTTCATGTTGTCAATTGAACAATTTTTAACTATTTCATAGATTTCGTCATCTGATAGTTCTACTCCCAGGAATTCTGACAACTCTTTTGTTTTTTCGAAAGGATTCTTGATATAAAACAAAATACATTTTGAGGTCAGGCTGTAAGAAATGTCATCTCATATCAATTACACAGTAATTCGCATTATACACTCATGTTTGTACGTATACAACGTATTCCATTTTTAAAGCTAGTTGTATGATAAAATTTCAAAACATAGAAATATTTCAAAATTAAAATTTTTTAAACAGACATCTTTTAGATGGCTTGATTGAGTGATCATTTGTTGTTGTTCAGAATTAGTTCAATATGGATTACTTTTATCATTTCTTCATACACGATCAATATTGCATTCTTGTTGTTTTTTATATGCGGCAGCCAACTCAAAATGTGATCCAAATATGATTCTCCTTTTCGTATGGCCAGAGGAAGAGGATCTAATTGAATAAAATTTTCTATTTATTTTCTAATTGATTATTTTATTATTTTCAATCCAATGTCGTTTGCCTGATAATTGATGCTTTTCAAAGGAATTTTTGTATTAGACAATTAAAAAAAAAGGTTTTCAATAAACGTTTTTTGACATTAAAGATCCCAGTTATTTAACCAAAATACTTTGGACTAGACACTAAATCTTTGGTCTCTTTCTGGCATAAAATAATATTGTATGTAAATAATCGCTTTCACTAAACATTTTTCGACATTAGATTTTAGTTATTTAAGCAAAATACTTTGGATTATCGACTACATTTTTTGCATTTTCATAAAATAACATTGTTGTTTGTCCCCAGTCTGTGAATGCTATTACCTTTCATTTGTCGTTCAAAATAATCGTTCCAATCATCGGGTGAAAATCTTGCTAATTCACCCTGCCAAGGAAATCCCTTAACAAAATGAAAGAACGATACCAGCCTGTCCTTTGGATTCCGCAATGTGTAAACGATCTGAAGAATGATCACAAATAAAATTTTTCATTGCTTGTTTATTCATATTTTGTAAATACAATTTAAATTGTTTACTAAGTGGCATATAATACAGCTCTTCACTATGTTATATTTTACTTTTGTAAATCTATAATATCACTTCGAATGATCGATAGAATATTTTATTTCCAGAATTTTATTCTCTTAGCTTATATATACGTAACATAGGCTTGCCTTTATGTTCCTTTTTTCGTATTTTTCTAAATTCACCAATTCAGCTGGTAGATGTGTAACAAAATATCTTCTAGGTATAGGAATATTGTGCATGACATTGAACTTTGAAGCTAAAATATACGACGACAACCATCAAGCATAAGTTATCACTTTGAAATAGCGACATTTGAGAAATCTACATAGTATTAAATAAATAACAAGCGTACTGTGTTTGGGAAAAACAATGTTGTAGTGTATATTGAATTGGCTATTTTGAATGGAAGTAAAAATCATCAGTGCTATATAGGGCTCATTGTATGTAATTTACGTTTTAAAATGCCAACAAACAGTATCAAAGCAAACCCAATAGTAGGGCTACAAACGCGATAACATTGATCACGGTTTTTCTTAGTAAAAACAGTTGTAAGTGGGCATTCAATAGAATGATATGTATTTGTAACAATGTATCTATTAATTTCTACAATAACCTACGTGTACATGTTTCAAGATACAAATGCGGTAAAGTGATATCTTTTGTCAGTTTATCAAGTTTTTCGTCCCTTCCATACAATATCTGACGAATAATTTCTCGAGTCCATGTTGTGCCTAAAAAGAATACATAACTTGATATTGTCTATCCTTTTTCTGTTTCTTTTATTTGTAACTATTTTTTAAACCTGTTTTTACACACGATGCCACCATCACTTCGTTTTCTCTTGGCTCATGATGGTCGAATGCATAAGATACTGTATCTGGATGAAACTGCGGAATAAATAAATGATCATTCCATTCTAGAACTTTGTCTTCTTTAGAGTATGTGAAAGTATCTTGGAAATGGACGAAGTCTTCTTGGCACCATTCAGGTAGTTCTTGTTTTAGATTTGCCATAGAGTTTGTTATTTACGAAAAAACACTGCAATTATATGAAAAGGCCAAGTCTTGCATATTCAAATAAAATTTGATTGCATTGAAATAATAATATACAAAAGAAAAGTGTCAACCTGCTTAGATTTAAACTACCTTTGTTCGGTCGTAAAACTCCATAAAATGTATTTTGAACAAAACACTGAACCTGACTTTATATCTGCCGTGTTAAATGTAGTAAAATCGTCATTATGATATAATAAAAGAGTTTATCCGTAAGAATGTAGCATGCGATATTATTTCTTTTAGAAATTAATTCAGTCCGATGGAACCATATCGTAACAACATGAATTATAATTGAACTTGAAAGAGATGTAACTTAACTATTCGATAGCAACAATATTCATATTGTCATCCAAAAAAAAACTACCAATCCCACTATTCCACAGACCCACAGTGAGTTAATGATAAGCACTCGCGCTATTTTTCCCCTATAAGCAACAGTAATTAAATAAGAAGCTGTTCCATTTAATACTGCCATCCGAATTATATTTTTGTAGTCACTGTGTCTATTACGTTCGGATCTGGGTATAATCCACCCGTTTTAAGAATTTGAATTTAAGAATCCTACTTTTCTACAAGCCCAGTGAAGTCTTTCCTGTAGACAACAGTAATTAAATTAAAGATTGTGTATTCAATATTGACGTCTGAATTCTATTTTTGTAGTCACTGCATCTATTATAGATGCGGATTTGGGTAGAATCCAAGTGTTTTCAGGATTGGCATTCGTCAGATAGTCTAAGTCGTATTAATGATTCCTTATTGAATTTCACATATTAACGCTCTCGCTTTGTCCGTTTGCCACTATAAATCTTGGCGCAAACAATGTTTAATCCAAATGATGTGTGGTGTGGTACAAATGATTGGTCTCATAGGTTCTGTTGAAATATCACACATATCTAAAGTATTCAATCACAAATTATTATTAATTAGAAAATTTGCTGATAAATCATCTATCTATATTTCGGCAAAGTATAAGTACCTTAAATCACAAATTATTATTAATTAGAAAATTTGCTAATAAATCATCTATCTATATTTCGGCAAATTATGTGTACCTTGAATTGGCATTTAGTATATTCGATTCGATTTCCTGGTTTCGAACGGCTTTCCAAAGCTTATTGTCAAGGCCAGTTTCGTCTCATATTTGTTTCTTTATTGTGGCCTGAATGCCAAAAAAAAACAAGTAGCGCTAGTGACGGGCTAGGTCCATCACGAGTATTTAGTGCTCTGCAAGTCTCTCTGCAACTTCAACTATTAGTGCACGAGTACCTTAAAAGCACATCTAAATAAGCACTGCAAAGTAGTTGGAAGTTACAATTAATGTACGTTCTTATTGCCAGAGTCAATTATTAACCTGCTTGACCGACATATATTCCTCTGTAGAATACAAACCTTTTTTTAGTAAACAGTATCATTAGAGTGGTCTCGATAGCTACAATGTAAGGCGATTGAAGTTGTGCAAACAAAACTCAATTTTCAGGCAGTTCAAATACTGTACGGTGTACGCAATATATATTACTAAGTGGGTTGGTTTGGCAGACGACAAGAGCAAATTGTAAGTTTCATCACAAATGTTTCAATGAATAGGTTTTTGAACTATACCGGTTCCATTCTATGTTCATGCTTAAACCTTGGCAATGTGACCATTTGCAACTCTGAAGTCATTTGTGATTAAATTGGTATTTCTATATTATATCTAGAATAGAAAACGTACCATATTATACTTTCATATGCATTAGTAGCTTTTGGCCCTCGGGAAGGGGCTGATTAAATTTTTGCTTATAAAGATAAAATACCAATCATTTTTATTCATACGCGTAAGCCTAATACCATTTTCTTTTATTGGACCAGTATAACTAGTAATGACTCGCTGTTTAGAAAGGTGTAAGTTTGAATATAGGATGAATGTAAAAATAAAATTTGAATAATTATCAGTCACGTACTTGACCACATGAAATTATTACATATTCAAGAGAAAAGGGTGAAGAGAAGGTAAAGTGAATTTAAATGTGTGTTTCATTGCATAGAAATTATCGAAAACGCTTAGATTCTCAAAATGTCATTATTCAAGAGGCTTTCTGACCACTAAAAAAATATATTTATGTAAAGTTTTGCCTGGTCAGACTTTCTCAGACCACATTATTCAACTGCAACTGGAAAAGAAGTAAACGCACATTTATACAATGGGTGTCATAGCAACATAAGGTTATCATAACATTTAGAGTTTCGCATGATAGAGAATCCATAAAATTGATGATTGTAGAATTTAACAGTGGAGAACTCCGATAAAGGATTTGAGAGATTGAACAGAGTATTTCACCGCTTCGGATTTGAATATAAATTCTAACTTAAACAATGGTGTCATTTGTTTCTCACAATTGAATGTTATAGGTCAGGGAGACAAAATAATTTTGCGGATTTTATTCCCGGCCATATGGGATTTACATCTGATTGAAGCATCAAGAAAAACAAAAAAATCAATTTAACCAGTGTGTTTCATATTTACCAATGCCCTCATTCCTTGTGGTTTATGCGTCTCAAGTAGATGAATTAAATACGATTGTTGTTTTTTCGGTAAATGTAGTCTTGAAATAGTTTTTCAATGCCGATTACACTAAGTCTTTGAGTGGATGTCCAGATTGGTAGAATTGAGCACCGACGACCATGTCTTTGTTTTTGATTGAATACTTCTAATATATTCTGTGATCCGATATTCTAGATATCTTCCTGTTTCTTCGAGTACTGCATGTCACAATGGTTGCAGTTTATCTATAGTAGATGACGTTTTCCATGTGTTGCACGTGGTTTCATGATAATATTTGGTTGAATAGTTCTGTGTCTGTTCAAACCTTAAAATCCCCTATCGCAGTGCCCCACTGTTAATCAATTATCTACAATAACCGATTTTATTGATTCTTTAACATTCGTTAACTCCCATTCCCATAAAAGTTTTATATTGCTATGATACCCATCGTATAAATGTGCATGCAATTTCTCTTCTTGTTGTAGTTGAATATTGTTCATCTGACGAAGCGTTTACAAAAATATATTTTGTGTTGGTGTGCAGCAAGACTATCGAATCATTTAGTATAGTTTCTTCACTCTTGTCATAACATCCTCGCATTATATTTATCATTACATCGGCATAAAGGCATCGAAAACCGATAAGTAGTTAGACCCGTAGGAATCTAATCGATAACACATATTTTCATAATGATTGTTATCTATTGTCACATGATGCATACCTATGTTACTGCGCGGTTCCGGTAGCATTCTACATGACTTTGCGCATGAGTTATTTTCTGCCTATATCCTGAGTGGGTGCGAGTGACCGTGCTTTGGATAAATTTCAATAAATTTTCAATTTAATTAGTTCAATTTGAATGATAATAGAAAGATTTTTCTATTCTGTCATCATAAAACCCGAATCGGTAACACATGAAAGCCTGATATCAACTAATTTCTGAGCTCATCTTAACAATCTCAAGCGTAATAACTGTCGGATTGATTTATCAAGATTAGTCTCATCTTTAATAAATTTATTATATGCAAATTCAACGACCTAATATACTTAATACAATATACTTGAATTAACATTTATTACATAATACATTCTAATACATTATAAACATTTGATACGTGGTAAATATATAATTTAATTCTATGAAAATTATAAAAATTATACATTCAATATTAATATTATCAGATATTTTTTAACTCACGAGAGCTTAAGGGGCTAGAATATCTAAAATATATGAAATATTAAACGACCAAATTGAACTTTTTAGTGAAAAAAGACTAAAATTACCAGTATATTTCTTAGTACATTAATTGCAAGCTTAAGCAATTGGCAAGAGTAATAAAGTAGTTCTCGAATGTGCTTCTAGTCGGTCTAGGCAGGGCCTATAAGTGATAAATTCAAATAAGATGATATCACACGATAAAAACTTATTCATATATAAATTTGATTCCTGTTCCTTTCAACTTTTCTTCAACTTGTCTGTCTATTTCAGCAGATTGTTTCTCAGTGAAATAGTTTTTCCATTTGCCAATGGTTCCTGAATAATACAGGAATCACATGACTCACAAATAGGGGGAAAGGATTGAAGATAGATATAAAAACAGCATGAACTTTTCTGAAAAGCTCTCTAATAAATAAATATACCAAAGCACATGTAGTGCAGAATAATCTCATAGCGACTAAACTCATTTTTATGAAACTTTTGTACCTGTCAAGCATTGAGTAATTGCATGGCGACTCATTCCGTCTTCAGATTCCGACTCCATATCCGACTTCTTCATGTTATCAATGGAACAATTTTTAACTATTTCATAGATTTCGTCATCTGATAGTTCTACTCCAAGGAATTCTGACAACTCTTTTGTTTTTTCGAAAGGATTCTTGATATAAAACAAAATACATCTCAAAGTCAAGCGTTAAAACCCTATCTCCCTGAGTTTCCTGGGGCCATTTTGTATGGTCTTTTCCGAATTTTTCGTTATCGTCAACCATTAGGCCCTAAATCAGCGTATTCTAGAGTTCTTTTCCGCGAGATGACGCTACAGCGCGCGTGTCCAACTGTCCAATATTATTTCACAGATGCGACCTCGTGTCCAAAAATTGGTACTCCCGTAGTATGTGAACGAAGATGATGGACATTGGAACGTAGTATGTGTACCAGGTTAGGGTCAGGCCATAATTTCAGGTACAAATACTACGGGAGTCACTTGGCAAGTCGCCGAAATCGCAATAGAACTAAAATAAGGAAAATTGGAATAAAATTATAGCTTAACCCTAGCCTGGTACACATACTACGTTCCGATGTCCGCCATTTTGGTTCGCATACCACAGGAGTACCCAAAAGTTTGTAGCTATTGTGTCTAATAAAGGATTAGGCTTAATTATAGGTATAATTAATTTTAATCTGATTTTTTTCTTGTGTTATTTTCCAACAAAACGATACCACAACCATTATCATAGCTATAATAGTTACCGATAAATTCACAATTGTATTCGCGGAATTTGCAAATTCAACTTCACTTGATTTGATAACGTCACGCCCTAATTATTACCACATAGAAGCTTTTACTTCCTATCCTTATTTGTAATTTTATCACACTACCACCATTTCACTATAAACATTTTCAAATCAATGCTATTTATACTTTAGACGGTTTCTGACCATGCTAACGCGTTTTATTGCTTGCGTTCACTACATGCGTTAATGATAAAACGTATAAGTATAATATATTAACTCTTATTAACCATTCAAAAACCACATATGACTAAGCACTTCATAAACATCCCGACTAGATAAGATTTGAAATGTTATCTAATACCACACACGAGTAATTCTCATTATACAATCATATTTGTACGTACACAACGTAACCCATTTTTAGTTGGTTGTGTGATGAAATTTCAAAACATAGATATATTTCAACATTAAAATTTCATTCAAACATTCCGGAGTGAGGTTTTGAAAAAATGTCTTATTAGCTGACTTGATTAAGTGATCAGTCATTGTTGTTCAGAATTCTATCAAAATGGATTACCTTTATCATTTCTTCATACACTATCATTATTGCGTTTTTGTTGTTTTTTATATGCGGCAGCCAACTTAAAATGTGATCCAAATATGATTCTCCTTTTCGCATAGTCACAGGAAGAGGATCTAATTGAATAAATAAAAAATTATACATTTTCAATCAAATGTCGATTGTCAGATGATTGATGCTTTTTAACGGAATTTTTATGTCACAACTTTTTTTTCAGTTGTTTCAGTTATTTAATTAGGCAGAATACTTTGGAATAAAGACTTTTTCTGAGATTGAAAGCTTGTTGTTTGTCCCATGTTAGTGGATGCCATCACCTTTCAGTTGTTGTTCAAAAAATTCGTTCCAATCGTCGGGTATAAATTTTGCTAATTCACCCTGCCATGGAAATCTTTTAAAAAAATTAAAGAACGATACCAGCCTGTCCTTTGGATTCCGCAAGGTGTAAACGATCTGAAAAATGATCACAATAAAATTTTCATTGCTTGTTTATTTATATTTTTTAAATACAATTTAAATTGTTTACCAAGTGAAACACATCTTAACTATATGTTATGAATTTGGTGGTATCATTACTTTTGTAAATCTAAAATATCACTTCTAATGATCGATATATTATTTTGTTTACAGAATAATATTCTTTAAGCTATATTCTACTAAAGCAGGGGTGGGCAACTTCTCTAGTCGGCGGGCCAGATGTGGGAATATGCAGTTCTCGGCGGGCCGAATTATAATATGAATAGTATTCAATATCTTAATCACATATTTATTCGCTAATGCAAGAAAGAAAATTATAAATCGCGTTTAAAGTAAAGTTTAAACTACAAAAAAATATAGACCAAAAAACACATAATAAATTTATCATAATGTACTAAAAGTGTAATAATGTAATATCATAATGTACTGATGTACAGTCAGCGGGCCGGTCAAAATCTCGTCGCGGGCCGTATGTCGCCCACCCCTGTACTAAAGCTTGCCTTTATGTTCCTTTTTTTGTATTTTTCTAAATTCACCAATTCAGCTGGTAGATGTGTAACAAAATATCTTCTAGGTATAGGAATATTGTGCATGACGTTGAACTTTGAAGCTGAAAAATACGACAGCAATCAAGCAAGTTATTACTTTGAAATAGAGACATTTGAAGAAATCTACATAGTATTGAATAAATAACAAGCGTACTGTGTATGAAAAAAGCAAAGCTGCAGCCTGCAGGTAACATTGAATTGCTATTTTAAATGGAAGTAAAAATCATTCGTGCTATAGACTCTATAGACGACACATTGTGTGTAATATAAGTTTTAAAATGCCAACAAATCATAGCAAACTCAATAGCTAGAATACCAACGTGATAACATTAATCACGATTTTTCTTAGAACAAACAGTTGTGAGTGGGTATCCAATAGAATGATATGTATTTAAAACAATGTAGATATTAATTTCCTCAAACACCTACGTGTACATGTCTCAAGATACAAATTCGGTAAAGTGATATCTTTTGTCAATTTATCAAGTTTTTCGTCTCTTCCATACAATATCTGACGAATAATTTCTCGAGTCCACGTTGTGCCTAAAAAGAATACATAACTTGTGATTGTCATATTCCTATTTCTTTTATTTGTAACTATTTTTCAAACCTGTTTTTGCAACCGATGCCACCATCACTTCGTTTTCTCTTGGCTCATGGTGATCGAATGCATAAGATACTGTATCTGGATGGAACTGTGGAATGAATAAATGATCATTCCATTCTAGAACTTTGTCCTCTGGAGAGAATGTGAAAGTGTCTTGGAAATGAACGAAGTCTTTTTGGCACCATTCAGGTAGTTCTTGTTTCAGATATGCCATAATAGTTATTATTTTGAAAAAAGAACTGAAATTATATAAAAGTCTTAGTCTTTCAAATTCTAAGTAGAATTGTATTGTATTTGAACATTAAAATGTATTTTGAACAAAACAATGAACCTGATATTATATCTGTCATGCTGAATGTAGTAAAATCGTCCACATGGGTGTAATAAAAGAATTTATCCGTAACAATATAGCATGCGTTATTATTTCTTTTAGATATTAATTCGATGGAACCACATCGTAACAGCATGAGTATGAATAACTTGAAAGAAATGAAACCTAACTATTCACTAGCAGCAATAATCATATTGTCATCCCACGAAACTACCCAAACTGCTGAACAACACTATACGAATAATAAAAGCTTGAGCGTTTTTTCCTATGGACAACAGTAATTAAATTAAAGACTATGTCTTTTAACATTGTCCTCTGAATTCTCTGTTTTTGTAATAATTGAACCTATTAGAGATTCGGATTTGGGTGTAATCCGCGCGTTTTTAGGATTTGGGTTCGACAGAGAGTTCACGTCGTTTTTATCGTTTCCTTGTTGATATTTACACAGTAACGCTCTCGTTTTGTGTGTTTGCCAATTTTAAATCTTGTTGCACACATATCTAATCCAAATTATGCGATTGGGCCTAAGGTATTATATCATAGGTTTTCATTATTCAACTTACTGATAAATCATCTATCTATATTCCAGCATAAAACTACAAAGTATGTTTACCTTGAAATTGCCATTCAAGATATTCGACCTCTTTTGGTTTCGGACGGTTATGTGATGGCGATTTTTCAGCGCTTACAGTGAAGGCTAATTTCGTCTCATATTTTTTTCTGTATTGTGGCCTGATAGCCAAGAAAATTAAGAAAACGAAAACAGATAGGGCTTTGTAAATGAGCGCAAGTTGTTGAAACGCGTTTTTCCTTTTTTGTTATGACGTCATGTACTCAATTCGACTCAAGTTCTTGATTTATTACTTCCATTTTCTAGTAATGCCGGACTAGATTCAGTATATACTAAGAATTAGTGCTCTGCATCTTCAACTAATATAATGCACGAGTACTACAGAAGCGCATCAAAGTAAGCTCTGCGAAGAACTTGGCAGTTACAATTGATATACGTTCTCATTGCCAGAATCAATTATTAACCTGCCCGATTGGCACATATTCCGTTGCGCGGTTAACCTTTCTAAATAAACAAAATTATTGTAGTGGTCTGAATTGCTACAGTGTAAGATGAATAAAGTTGTGCAAACAAAGTTCGCCTTTCGGCTAATTCAAATATGCCTACTGTATGCAATTTTATTACTAAGTAGGTCTGAGAAACGACATCGCATATGTTTCAATAAATAGGTTTTTGAACTGTACCGGTTTTATTCCATGTTCATGCTTATAGGTGTAACTACACCTAACATGAACCTAAAACGTACCTTTTATTATAGGCTACTTTCAACTGTATTAGTGACCTTTCCCCAGAAAGGGAATGATTCACATAATGCTCATAAAGATAAATACCCATCATATCAACATGAATGAAGAAATGTAACATGCGTTATTATTTCCTTTAGATATTAGTTCAGTCCGATGAGACCATATCGAAACAGCATGAATATAAATAAACTTAAAATAGTTGGAACTTAGCTATTCAATAACAGCAATAATCATATTGTCATCCCATAAAACTACCAAACCCTCTTTTTCAACACACCCATTAGACTAAGTGCTTTCTTTCCTATACTAAACCAGTGGTTCGCCGAAGGCAGCGCCCCTCACTTTAAAAATCAGGTAGAGATGAGGTAGAAGAATAACATTAACGATCACAAAATTTATTTTTATTTTTTAAAAGCAGCATTTTTTCGTGTAAGTGCGCCGTGTTTTTTCCCCCAATAATTTGGCGCCGCGCGAACAAAACGTTTGAGAGCCGCTGCTCTAAAAACTATCAATAATGAGCAACGTTTTAAAACCGAAAAAAAAATTCTTGGGTCAGGACTTCTGACGTACCAATACTATAATACAAATATATATGGTATTTGGAGTACTTGCATCGAGGCATAGGTATTTTCAATACAAATTGGTCCTTGCTTCAAAGAATAGGATTCAATCTTGCAATCAACTTTCAATGCTTCCACGTAGTTGCAAATATAAATAACTCGTATGTGAAATTACATGGATCCTGAAAAGCTCCCATTTTGCGTTCTTATGTTCTATTGACTTATAGAGATGAACAAATAAAAATTCATTTAAAAACTATTGAAAAAATCGAGGTAAACGAGATAAAACTTCAGTGCGAACTTTAAAAACTTCACGAATGTTCAGGCCCTCGCCTGTGTCTATGGAGTCGATTTACGTCTGTGCAAGTTATAACGCTCACTAACAGCTGAATGAATCGAAAATCTCTGGGGTTTGGACGAGAAAAGATTTTATTCATGAAAATCCGAAATTTCACTCTCATCCTAATTGCTTCGGTCTGATCTGAATTAACGATGAATATCAAACATGATTTTAATATATTATCAGTGGGTTATATTTTCCACTGATTGTCATATCAACTCTTTGCTAGATTGCTGTTGTTTTTAAAGTGCTCGTTTAGTTGTTGGCGAAACAAATTTTTTTTAATACAACTGGAGCAGGGACCAAAAGCTGCCAAATTTTTTATAGAAAAAATATATAGTTATTCCTATATAGCGCTTACTACTTCTATTTTTTATATATATTAGGCTTTCGTTTTTTTTTAAGAAGTTTTCTAACACAATGTTTATTGAAAACAAGAGAGCTTTGCTCAAATATATGGACACGTTCACCAATTTCAGGAAAAGCACCAACATTTAAAGACATCAGTTATAACAGTGACTGGAAGCCCCGCTTTTACGAGACAGTTACGAGTTAGTTCAGTGTCACCGCGCTGTGTTACGGTACCGGAACTGCTCTATCTTTAGAAGTTCCTGTCTCGTGACAGCGTGAATTGAAATTGCAAGATGGTCCACTCACAACTGTAGTAACACCAACGATCCGAGTCACTACTGTAATATAGCATCAAGTACGGCACTATTCACCATTCCTCAGATCTTAGCAGAGCAAGGATTTCGTTACGAACCACCGACGTTCGATGGCGCGTGATCAAAAGACATGAAGAGGAGTGCCAGCATATGCGTCCGCAGAACGTTCGGTGACGTCATAGCAAACAAAAATAAATCTCACAGAGCTAACAGAAATATTTGAAATAAATAAAAGTGATAGCCTTCTGAAGAAAAATTTCATCTTTAACCACTGAGAATTTTGAAGCTATTGCTTCAGTATTCGAAGAGAAAAGCGATTTTACACGACTAAGAAGAAGAATATGAACAAGAACAACAACATAACATTGAAACGATCGTTATATACACTGACGTGTCCAACAATTCACTCGAAGCTTCACACACATTTCAACGTAGGTACTGCTGTGAAACCCAGCAGTATATAAATTTTTCATTTACAAATTCGTTGAAATTCATATTATTGATTTTCTTCAGTTTGGTAACCAGGTCAATTTGGAATAGTTGTTCAAATACTTCAAAATATGTGAAGAATTTTGAAGCTTTTAATAAAGACCAGCAGTTCACATGGCCAAGATTTTAAAATAAGCGCACTTTGTATTGTTGCCAATAGTATTTTAGTTTTCTAATGTGTGTATAACATTGTGTTTGCTAAACGAACTCATAAACGAAAGCAAAAAACTCATATACCGGACTGTTCCAAAAACATCATTAATTACTACATATGTCAATTCTTTTTTATGGATTGAATTCTTGTCGAAAAAGACTGAGATGGATGATGAAATCGTAATATTGTCTTGTGATGCTCCAATGCGATTAATTTGTGGATCTTTTGATGAAATAACGACTGAAATGAATTTTGGAACGACAGCTGTAAAGATACCCGTCCATTGACACGAATATACATCGCACCCCCACAGTAGTGTAATTATATAGCGCCTATATGTTGGACTACGGTAACGGACTATTTACTGAAAACTTTGCGCCCTGACAATCTACGACGTGAAAATTAAAAATCCAATTTATGGAGAAATCAACAATTTATATTTCCATCGTATTTGGCTATCAAGGGTCTCCAACACACGGCCCGCCAGCCATTTTCTTGCGGCCCTCTTCATTGTTGGGATTTTTCCACAAAATTCAAAATAGTACGATGTCAACTATTAGTAGGTTTTATTGTGTTATTTGACACCAAGAGTCCGGTCCGACAAACTGTAAAAGTGAAGCATGTTGTCTCAAGACTAGCACACCAACGCAAAATAAAGCCAAACATCGAAACCAAATATCCAGCACAAGTGAATGAATATGTTTCATGTCTCGTTTGCCGTAAGATTCAAGTGTAATTTCAACACAATACATTCAGATACCCATTTTTGTATATTTTTAAATTTTCTTGGTTTGCGACCCGCGTGGCAATACATTTCAAAAAGTGGCCCGCGAAATGTTTTGAGTTGGAGACCCCTGGGCTACATAAACCCATTTGTTAGTTGTATTAGGTTGATGAAGTCGTATGTCAAGAGGACCATGAATATGCCCTTCGGATTTCGCAATGTGTAAACAATCTGAAAATAAAGCTAGGAATTCAAATCATATTTCTTTCAATTTTGCAAGGTTTCCGAATGTCTTTGAATTTTTCTGGTTCATGATATTACAAACATATTCTGAATTAAAAAGTTCATCATTTTTTGAATGCGTTTCAACATTTGCGCCAGGCAAACGAGAGTGAATAAGTTTTAGTGGAGTTGTAATTCAAGGCTTTTAGTGGAGTTATAAAAGCTAAAGCGGCTTTCAGCGTCAGAAGACTTTCTCGGGAAAGCCGCTATAGCGGCTTTCAGGGTTCAATGAGTTAATCCCCATATATTTTGGTGTAGCCCAACTCGAAACTCTTTCTGACAGGAAGCAGATAAGCAGAGTGCAACAAAAGGAATGAACAACAATCTGACCGATCCAATAAGGTAACCTGAA